AAATAACCACTGTTATCAAATTCAAAATAGCGAACTTGAAAGTCTAGTAATAAATTCCGAAATATTGTATTTATTTGCTTGAAACTCAGTTTTTGAGAATGGTCCTGGTAGAAATATGTTTTCACCATAAAAGTCTACAATAATATAATAATTGTAATTTTTTATGGAAATTTGTAATTACTTGTTAAATGTTGTCAAACTGCTGTAATTTTAGACAAAATCAGCACCCTCAAAAACCCCCATAACTTAATGTACGTAACTAGTGATTTTGCATTATTATTGCATTCCTATTTTGCATTCCTTCGTCCGTCGGTTTCAAAAAATCACTTCTTTATACAATGTTTAAACGAGTATAACTTTGTTCAAAGCAAATTTTTTACCAGTAGTGTGATTGATTACTGAAAAGTTCTTTAGCTTCAATTTCCACTTTGGTTCATGCTAATATAATGCCCGGTTATTAAGCTACGAAGGAAAACGAGTCTGACTCGAGATTAACCTTTCGGGCACAGTCCGTTTACCCTGAGTCAAACACGGGTTAAACCATAGAGAGGTTAGCGTCGTGACTAGAGTCTTTAATATGACTTTAACCTTACACATTATTCGCACGTAGGCCTATCTAATGTTGAAAATCGTAAGAAATCCTGGTAAGTAAAAAGATCTCGCATAGAAAATTGTTCAGAACTTTAATCGATAGAAACGAATTTGTTTGACTGAAAATATCTAGTAATTTTCGATTTAGTGAACGTGCGGACATTAATGAAGCCGTGTGTATATGAATTCAAGTTAGAAATGTAATATTTCAGACACGTTAATCTCTCTAAATGAGAAGCCTAAATCTAAACAGATCTCATTTGTTCTACTGAACGTTTTTCTAATCTTTATTTTACATTAAGTGTTCGCAAAGTATATGAAACATACATTTAGAGTATCTATATTTTGTAAATATAAATATATAAGAAAATATAAAAATACTTAATGTATTTTAAATATTTTCTTTATTTTTTTTTTTCATTTTTTATTTTCCTATTGAATTCGATCCATAGTTGGTGGAAAGATAATATTTCTTATTTAATTACTTAATGAAAGTATACCGATTATCTAAAAACATGCGAGTTTCTACATTATTCATGTTTTAATTTCTAAGCCACAAATTCATTTTGGGATAATAATTAAATTCTCGATTATTAGTAGGACGAACAAGTTTGAAGACAAATTTAGGCATTCTAACAGAAATTTATATTGCATCTTAATAAATTTGAAGAAATTTTTATATATTAAGATATATATTACATTTACACATTAAAATAAATTATTAGAGGCCATTTATGCAACTCAATACCTGAGCAATTGAAGAATATAGAGTTGAAGGTAGAATTCGATAGGATTAATGCTTATCCACTCATCGAATATTTGTAAAAGAAACTGTAATTAAATATCCTCAGGATATCATTACAATACATGCGGACATTCTCGCCAAGTGTCTTCGTTTGGTATGCAAATTCTAAAATTGCTGGAATGCGGAATATTCGATATGTACTAGCTCAATATATAAAAGGATAATTCAACTTTACAAATTCATTTGTTTAACGTAACCGTAATACTGAGAAAGACTCAAATTACAAACGAAATGTTTCTCATAAAAGTCCGTTAATTAGCGATTTGCCGGATCAGTTTAAAGGTTTGATCGAGTTTTTGAGTGAAATTTTAATTTATTACATTCAATAGATGAGATTGAGTGAAATTTTAATTTATTATATTCAATAGAAACAAATTATTTATCAATCAGGCAAACGCTGTAAATATGTCATCTTTACAACGGTATATAACGTTATCAACATCGTGTGTACTGCCTGTTACATGTATGTGATGTCATCTATTGTAAGTCGAATCGAACTTTTATACTAATCCAATAGCATCTATTTTTCCATATATTGTTTGAATATTATTTTTAATTTGTGTATTCTTTATAATATCTGTAATTCTTTAATAGATTTATTTAATATCATAATGGGGTCGATGGCACGTATCGTTAATTTACATATGTAGGAATAATTAAAACAAGCATTTAATATTTATCTACTGTGCATATCTTATAATCTTCAGTCCAAACGAGTTCTTCAACAACAATCAATAAAAATCAATGCAGCATTCAATATGTTATTCCATGATATGCTTATTTGCAGAGCTTTTTTCAGATATACAAAATATAAAAATTGTAAAAAAATAAGTCCTTTTGATTTTATTGATATTTCTGATAAAAAAATTATTACATCTCTCATTTAAACGATTTTAATAACCAAGTTGCTATCTGTAGGCAGTCAGTAAAACCAGATAATTCATCGAATTGTTTCTGAATCCAGTAGATAAAACAGGCTTACCGACAGCATTGTAACCACCGAAGAGATTGTTAGTCAAGCACATTGACGAGGTAAGAGTATAAGTAAATACCGTTAATATTTCAACAAAGTAATATAATATCAAGACCAAAAAGTTTTAAGGATTTAGAGTAACAGAAAATGCTACTGTCTAATAACCTTCCGTCGGTCAATTTTTCGATAAATTTATGTAAAATTAATATAGACGATAACTGCCATACCAACTGTGAGCATTTAATCAATCAAATCATAATTGTATATAGTAATGCAATTTTATAAAAATATCTAATATATTTTCTCTCTACTCCCAGTAGAAGCGGAGATATCAACGGAGAAAGGTTGGAAAACTTTAATCTTCGATATCTCCTAAACGGTTAGATATACAGGCCTGGCTCAGGTACCAAAATAAAGACTTCTCAAAACCCTACATTTTCGACTACAATGACGACTCTCTACTCCCAGTAGAAGCGGAGATATCAACGGAGAAAGGTTGGAAAACTTTAATCTTCGATATCTCCTAAACGGTTAGAGATACAGGCCTGGCTCTGGTACCAAATTAAAGTCCTTTCAAAACCCTACATTTTCGACTACATGGCAAACTCTCTACTCCCAGTAGAAGCGGAGATATCGACGGAGGAATGCTGGATATCGACGGAGAAAGGCTGGAAAACTTTAACCTTCGATATCTCCTAAACGGTTAGAGATACAGGCCTGGCTCTGGTACCAAATTAAAGTCCTCTCAAAACCCTACATTTTGCCGTAAATGGCGACTCTCTACTCCCAGTAGAAGCGGAGATATCAACGGAGAAAGGTTGGAAAACTTTAATCTTCGATATCTCCTAAACGGTTAGAGATACAGGCCTGGGTCTGGCACCAAAATAAAGCCTTCTCAAAACCCTACATTTTCGACTACATGGACGACTCTCTACTCCCAGTAGAAGCGTAGTATCAACGGTATCAACGGAGAAAGGTTGGAAAACTTTAATCTTCGATATTTCCTAAACGGTTACAGATACAGACCTGGCTCTGATACCAAAATAAAGTCCTCTCAAAACCCTACATTTTCGACTACAATGACGACTCTCTACTCCCAGTTGAAACGGAGATATCAACGGAGAAATGTTGGAAAACTTTAATCTTCGATATCTTCTAAACGGTTAGAGATACAGGCCTGGGTCTGGCACCAAAATAAAGCCCTCCCAAAACCTTACATTTTCGACTACATGGACGACTTTCTACTCACAGTAGAAGCGGAGGATCAACGGTATCAACGGAGAAAGGTTGGAAAACTTTAATCTTCGATATCTCCTAAACGGTTAGAGATACAGGCCTGGCTCTGGTACCAAAATAAAGTCCTCTCAAAAACCTACATTTTCGACTACATGGACGACTCTCTACTCCCAGTAGAAGCGGAGATATCAACGGAGAAAGGTTGGAAAATTTTAATCTTCGATATCTCCTAAACGGTTAGAGATACAGGCCTGGGTCTGGCACCAAAATAAAGTCCTCTCAAAACCCTACATTTTAGACTACAAGGACGACTCTCTACTCCCAGTAAAAGTGGAGATATCAACGGAGAAAGGTTGGAAAACTTTAATCTTCGATATCTCCTTAACGGTTAGAGACACAGGCCTGGGTCTGGCACCAAAATAGAGCCCTCTCAAAACCCTACATTTTCGACTACATGGACGACTCTCTACTCCCAGTAGAAGCGGATTATCAACGGAGAAAGGTTGGAAAACTTTAATCTTCGATATCTCCTAAACGGTTAGAGATACAGGCCTGGGTCTGGCACCAAAATAAAGCCCTCTCAAAACCGTACATTTTCGACTACACGGACGACTCTCTACTCCCAGTAGAAGCGGAGATATCAACGGAGAAAAGTTGGAAAACTTTAATCTTCGATATCTCCTAAACGGTTAGATATACAGGCCTGGGTCTGGCACCAAAATAAAGCCCTCTCAAAACTCTACATTTTCGACTAATTTAGTCGAAAATGTAGCATATGCTACATTTGGAAAAACCATATGCACATTTTGGAAAAACATTGAAGTAATCGTAAATTATAAAATCAAGAGACATAATAGCATTTCGCGCGAAGTGCATATGCGAAATGAAATACGAACAGCACAATCATGTATCATATACAAGTTGAGTTTTGGCTCGCAAATTAACTTTTTACCATGCAATATGGATTACCGACAGCGATTGTAATTGATCGAGCAGCGTGAAAATGGTCCACGCAATTTTATATAAATTTGCGCAATTTCGTATTACCACACATTTTACGTGGTAATACGAAATTAAAATAAAAGTATAAAACATACTGGTATTAACGTCGGTATAAACACAGGCATTAAATCTTAAATAACCTTAAATAACATTATAACATTGCGTGTATATACAATCTGCCTAATAAATAGCTGAATTGAGTTTCTGTTACCGACATTATAACGACTGTTACCAACTGTTACAACTTCAACGAACGTAGTCGACACCAGGGCAGACAAACTCAGATAGGATTTACGAGGACACTGTATTTCTGCCCCGTATCTACTGAGGGCGTTAGTATTGACATCAAATGTTATATGAAGTTTCCACTCATAATTCACTTTCTTATATGAAGTTGTCTTTGTCAATTATTATATAGGTAAAAAGATTATAAGTATACAAAAAAGTATACTAACAAAATCGGCAAATACGCAATTTGTGTGTTTTACAAATATAATTCTGTTTCAGTAAGACGTAAGTCGTACACGTATTATCGTAAAGTAATCTAGTAGATTCGCGAAAAATGAGTTATAAGTTTAGATTTTATAAACAAATCTTTTTCCAATCATTACTATGTCCTAAAAAGTTACGAGTCATAGCTGTATTAATAGTCCGGTCTTATATTTAAGATCGTGTTAAGTTCATTTTCAGCTGCATTTTCATGCTGCATAGATCATTTGGTACCTTGGGATCCATTGGGTACAGAGTATCTGAATGTGAACTTCAGACAGTCTTAAATATAAGATCCGACTATGAATACAGCCCATAAAGTCAGATTTAAATTTCAAATATTTAATTTGTAATATTAAATATTTTTTTAGCAACATGAGTCATAAAAAATGTGCAGTATTGCACTGTAATGGTACAGGTAAACGAATGTTTACCTTTCCAAAGCCTACCAAAAATAAAAATAAGTTTTTAAAATGGTTATTGGCATGCGGAGATGAAAAATTATTAAAAATAGCAGAGAAAAAATAGCCAGCAGAACTATTTGTGAGAATCATTTTGAGGAAAGATATAAGTTTCCAAAGAAATTAAGCAATGATGCTATGCCTACTTTATTATTACCAGGTATATTGAAAAATTATTAAAATGTACTAACAGAAATCAATTTTTTTTATAAACAAATGATAAATAAATTATACTATTATACCCAATAAAAAACGGTGTTATAGTGAATATAAAACTATATATTTTCTTATAAATATTTAATTTGTTTACAGAACCAATTAATATTATACAACATGAAAGGATTGATGTTAGGAGACATTTGGAAGTCCTCTGGACGTCCTCTGGACGTCTTTCAGATATTTTTTAAGATCTTTTGTTGTCTTATCATAATCAAATTTTCTTTTTAACAATCTCTTATGTACTAATATTACTTTAATTTAATTAGAATATGAAGAAACAAACCAAATTGAAGATATAGTTCATAATAGCAATCGTCAAGAATGATCATCAGGTAAGATATAAGTAATGACCTAGACAGTGCAGATCTGCACGAAATATCTGAAAGATGTCCAGAGGACATTCTACATTTTAAATATGTCTCCAAAACATTCTCAAGATATCCCTTGAAAATTTTTACTGTCTGAGGATTTATTTATTCGTTACAATTTAATCAATTTTATGTTAAAATTATTCAAAACTTGTATAATGCAGTAGGAAAACATGAAAGAAAAAGGTGTGATTTATTTTAAAGAGAAAATAAACAGAGTACTTTGAATATTATTATATTTTTTGATTTTACTTCAGAAATATTCATATTGCATTAATCCGGTAATATTACATTTACATTACGTAGGTACAGCAATATAATTTGTTGAACGTGATATAAAGTCGCCGAATTTATGTTCAAGTAAAAACAGATTGAGAAAACATTTGGAGAAAAAAAATAAAGGTAAATTTCATTATAATTCTATAATGAAATTATACAATATTTAATTACAATATACAAAGTGATTCGTATAAAATGACTAATTCCATTATTAGCGAAATTTGAAGACGTGAAAAAATAGTATTCATAGTATATATTATTTTTTCATATATCTTCATATTTTGCTAATCATTGAATTAGTCATTTTATGTATGAACTTCATAACAATTTGTTCAATAAAAAGGGAAACTTTATTAGTGGACATTATTATTTAAGAGCTGGAGACGCTGAAGACATTTTTAAGATCAACCAAATTTTTTTTATATTATATTTTTTTATAAGTAATATGTATACAGGGTGTCCGGTAACTTATTAAGCAGCCGCCGTGTACAGGCCAATTATGTCTAAGTAAAAACATTTTTCTATTTATTAATTTTTATAAATATATAAGCAGTCGGTGCAAATTAGCTGAGTATTATTTTATCATGGATTTAGTCACGCAGCCACCTGCTGTCTATTCACATTACTATCCAACAGACATACATAAAACACAACATTGGAATAATAGTATATTATAAAAAAGAAATTATCATAGCAATTGACATTTCGCTAAAAAAGACGAAAAAGTATTTTATATAAGAAAAGTATTTAATATAAGAAATACATTAACATTTGTTACAAAGTTTATGAGAGCAATAAAAAGAAATGTGGAAATAAAAGTGAAAAAAAATTGAATATTGTTTTTTGAGTATTGAAAGGATATGGTATCTTTTTAAGTGTTGGGAGAATATATCTTTTAAAAGATTCTCTTCATAACTTACATCTATTACTAAAATTAACGTTTCAGGATGTGTTCCTATATACACTGGTAGTACTGAAAATCTATAATATATGTAACGTTTACTCAACATTTTTAATACTTGTCATGAATTTTGGACTGCAACTTTACATTGATAAATAAAATATATAAGTGATAAAATGTTAAGTCACGATATTTTTGCATGCTATTTATGTACAATCGTGGACGAAAAAGTTGTCCGCAATTTTGAAGATGAATTTTTAAACTCCATCTTGTCCAATAGGAACATTCTACCATTAGGTAACGAATTCTTCCATTGGATAAAATGGAGAAATCACAAACTCATACAAATGAAGGGAAAAAATTTTCCAATGCCAATGGCACCACTGACTTTTTTTTATTTCAAGTAGTTTTTGAAACTTTCTTTCTCCTAGTAATAGTTGAGAAAATTATTTAAACCTCATCGAATCAATTAATATAAATCTTAATTAGTCAATTAATATAAATTTAATATAAATCTTCTGTGTTGCTTTTAACTAATTTAGCATGTTTGTCTTGTTTATTCATGTATTTCTATTTCCTTTTTTTTCAGCATGTTGTGTTCTCATCTTTTTTATGTTATTTTCATGTTTTTCATCTTTTTTATGTTTTTCTGTATTACTTTTAACCAATATATGTACTTTTAACCAATGTTTTTCTTATTTATCAATGTTTTTCTACTTCTTTTCTTTAACATGTTTTATCTTTTTCCAGTTAATCTGTTACGATGTTTTAATGTTAATAAGACAGTAGATCTCCAACCTAAGGAACGCCAAATTTATAATTTTGTGGCTTCACGTAGAAAGACTATTATACGCACTGCACGAAGAAATTATAATTTATCGTTACGTTTACAAGAAGCTAACAGATTTCTGCAAAATTCACCGTTGCATTTTATCAATGAATTACTACAACCTGCAAAACATTTTTTTACAAGCTACTTAAGGAATATAAACAAAAATAAGTATAAAAAAACATATACTCTTGAAGACAAAATATTTGCTATTACATTATATAAAAAAGCCCACGAATATATAGATTTCTTGAAAAAATATTTTATTTGCCTTGCAAAGAAACTTTAAGAACACTGTTACAAAAAATTCCAATAAAACCAGGGATATATGATAATATTTTTGAGGAAATAAAAACTCGCGTGCAAACTTTTGATGATGACAAATACAAATATTGTATACTAATTTTCGATGAGATTAAGTTAGACTCTTCATTAGTTTATAATCCAGCCACTGATCTTATTGAAGGTTACGTAGATAACGGATACGACAGAAAAATTGTAATTGCAGATCATGCTCTTGTTTGGATGTTCAAAAGCATATTTGGCATTCCATGGAAACAAGCAGTAGCATTTTCTTTTTGTAAAGGCATTACATCATGGATAGATATTGCTCGTACTTTCAAAGAAATTGTTACACGAGGTCAAGATGCAGGATTAATAATTATAGCGTCAATATGTGATCAAGGAGGAACGAATAGTAAAGTTATAGGAAATCTTATTATTAATTCAAAGCATTAGTAAATAATTAATAAAGCATTAATAAAGAATGTTATTGTTATTAACAATCAACAAATAATACCGCTTTTTGATCCACCACATCTTTTAAAATGTATTCGAAATAATTTACTTACAAAAGATTTGAAATATAAGTTAACAGATAATAAAACGCGAATAGCTAAGTGGGAACATATAGAGGATGCTTATTTCATTGATCGCAGTAATGGTCATTTTCGAATAATGCACAAATTAACAGATTTCCATATAGTGCCAAATAAAATTTAAAAAATGAAGGTTTCCTATTGCACTCAAGTTTTTAGTCGTACCGTGGCCTCAGTAATGACACTAATGAATTCAAGTAGATCTTTCAGTTCTTGTGGAACAAGATGCATGCCTCAGGAAGGAAAAGAGACTGCCAAATTGTTGTTATTTTTTAATAATTTATTTGACTTTTGAAAGTTTATAAAAAATGAGAAGTGTTTTTCTTTAAGCGACGATTTCCTTACGTCTTATACGGTTCGCTACATGCAATATCCAAATTGACGTTTCCACTCTTACCAATAAAAGACGCCGAAAATCGAATTGAATATTCTTCATTTAACATATTTTATTTCGCTTCTGTTCAATTAGTTACGGGTTGTTACAGTTATCAGTGGATTAGGCTTACTGGGGACACCACTTAAAAAAAAATGCGTTAATAATAGTACTTCATGGGTAACGTGGAAAACTATTGGAAACACGCTCCTGAGACTCGAGCGGCTTGTTGCCAGCGCGCGGAGCGGCGAGGTAAAGGGAATAGCGGTGGTCGGAGATAATCGAAAATCGGCCGTCGCGTGCACATTTTGCCAAGCTCTGATCTAGGGCTTTAGACGCATGTACTAAACATTCATAACCTCGAAACAGTCACAATGTTGAAACCAAGTACGGAATATAATCGAAGAGCCGCGATTATCGAAAGTGTTCGCGCTGGGCGCTCAGCGACAGAAATCATTCGATTCTTCGGGTACCCAAGATCGACTATGTATGATGTCGTCGCGAAGTATAACGAGTCGGAGAAGTCCAACAAAGGTTTTGCAACACCGGCAAGGAAAACTCACTCGAAGGAGCGCGTTGTCAGGATGCCCAAAATCATTCAACGGGCTTAGGAGCTGATTTTTGAGAACCCAGGGCAGTCGATTCGAAAGTTGTCGTTGATTATCGGTGTGAGTGAAAAAACTATGCGTCGAATCGTCGAGGAGGACCTCTGCTACAAGTCTAGCGATTGACGATTGCGTCTGCGTTTGTGTTTGCGCTTGCGATTAGATGTTTGTCAATCACACTAGTGACCGTTGGGAGCAAGCGTTTGCGTTTTGTCGTTTCAATGTATAGGTTTTGCAACAGAAGTGAAGAAAAATGGAACATAGAAAGAAGAAAAATATATGCATTATTGTGATGCTAATGATGTTAAAGTCACAATATGAGAAAAAGGTTCTTCCTAAAAAAAAAAAATGTGGGTTAGATCCTGGATAGCTAAAAGAGCACAACAAGGTTGTTTTCATAACCTCTTTCTAGAATTATAACTAGAAGATCCAGACAAGTACTGCAGGTAGGTAGATATATTTTTTATGTATAGGTTATAATCAATAGAACGTAAGAATGTAATTTGACTATAGTTTGTTAATTCTAATCACTTTCAGTAATTAATATTATGTATTTATTTTGTCAGATGTCTTCATATGTCTTCAGATTTGTTTGAGGATCTTGTAAAGAAATTGAAGCCATTAATTAAAAGACAGGATACTCATCTTCGACAAAGTATCTCCCCTGCAGAAAGACTTGCTGTAACATTACGTCATTTGGCAACAGGTTGTTGAGCATATCTATTTTAAGCAAGTTATATATTTTTTTGTGATTTATTTTTCATTATGTAATAATTTTATATATTATCTGTTGTAGGCGGAAGTAAAAAATCACTATCTTATACTTTCCGTCTTGGACAAAGCACTATATCTGGGATCATAAAGGATACTTGTCATGCTCTCATTCCTGTTTTGCAAGAAACACATCTTAAATTTCCTGACAGTGAATTGGCTTGGAAAGTAATTGTTTATATGGAAAGATGGAATTTTCCGAATTGCTTGGGTGCCATGGATGGGAAACATGTTTGGATAGATCCTCCACTTCAGTCTAGTTCCTCATACTTTAATAAAGAATTCCTCATATTTTTACAAAGAAACGTTCAGCATCGTGCTTTTGGGGGTTGTGGACGCTCAACTTCGATTTATATTTGTCGATGTAGGCACAAATGGACGAATATCTGACAGAGGAATATGGAATAAATGTGCTCTAAAACATCATTTGTAGTAAAACGACATTAATATTCCTCCACCAAGTCCCCTACCAGGTACTGAGCAGGATTTTTCTTATGTAATTATAGGAGATGAAGGTTTTTCTTTATCTACAAATGTGCTCATACCTTATCCCAAGGAACAATGTACAGGAAAAAAAGAGAGAAGAATTTATAATTACAGGTAAGTAGAAGTAAAGGAATAGGTGTTTTTTTTATATATCAGTATTTATATATTCCACATTTAATTATTGTTGCAGATTATCTAGAGCGAGACGATGTGTGGAAAATGCATTTGGAGTCATGGTCAGCAGATTTAATATATTCAGATCTCCAATGAGATACGACCCAGATGATACTCGTTGCATTGTATTGGCGATTTGTTGTCTTCATAACATGTTGAGATCTCACAGTATAGGCCGTATGATGTATACTTCACCAGGATATATTGATATGGAAGATGAAATGACAGGTCAATTGCAATATAGAGAATGGCGAGATGAACAAGGACAAGGTTTATTAAGATTACAACATCAAGGAGGCAACTCCATACTTCTGCTGCCATAGAAATGCGAGAAAATTTATGTGAATATTTTAATAACATTGGAAGAATACCATGGTAAGATCAGGCAATTCAGTGACAGTAAAATAAAATATATTTTTGTAGAATTTTTATCCACTTTGTATTTTACCAGCTTTGTATTTTATGAGCATAACATATTTAGATAACAATTATAAATAAACAATATTAATATTTTTCAACAGACATTTTATCATTTCTACTACAAACATATAATATAACTGTAGAACAATTATAATATAAGGAAATATTTTATAATAATTTTTCTAAGTTTGAACATAAAATCTAAATGTTAAAACATCTGAAATTAAAAATGACATACTCTAGATATCAAAAACGTTAAAACATCTGTATGCTAAAACATCTGAAACTTAAAATAACATACTCTACATATAAACGCAGAATTATTAGATATATACTAATTAGGTTCATATTTGTGATTCAGATAATATTTAAATATTTTCTTATGAATATTTATACATAAAATATGTAATTACTTTAAACTTAGTAAATAATAAAATATTTGTCATGTTCTTATTAAAACTAAAATAAAATTTAATTGCATTTTAAACTTTTCTCTGAGAAATAAAAACTTAGTATATGTAATATATAAAGTTTTATGAATATAATAAAGAAAATGTTATGCGCGTATTAAAACTGACATACCAGTTTTAGTATTTATTTAAGTAAGTATTTAGTTATTTAAGCGTTTGTACAAGGGCCACTTTGGAATATAAATATCTGTAGTGCCTTTTCCACTACGTTTAGAGTCCTTCACTCTTCTCAAATTTTACATAAAAGTATCTTTCATATTTTTAAATCTGCTTGTTACAACAGTACCGAGGAAGAAAGACGTATTACTTTAAATATATGCAGTTTATTTCATTTTCACACAGTTTACGCTCTTCAGGCTGCATTTTACGTAGTTTTGCCGCAATAAACAATCCTAAGGTATGAGCAGAGTCATTATCAGGATATTGACTGAATCTGGATACAAATAAGTTAGGCTCAAGTGAAATAATTGGATCAGGTTGACATAAAGTTTTAATGGCACTAATTGCTTCTTCCATGAAAGTATCAGTCTTTCTTTTAGATCCTTATTTGGTATACATCTGATTGTCGGTATCTTGTTTTTTAGAAACAGATACAGTAGATATAGGCTTTGTTGATGCTGTTGAGATCAAAACAGTTGCATTTTGCGAAGTTGCCTGTAGGACAAGAGTAGACATAAATCGCAAAGGTTCAAGTACATGAGATATTGGTTGTGAATAAGGATGTTCTAGAAAAAAAAAAGGTTAATATTCTGTTTGTAATATCAACAACTGTTTTAATTTACTGTGTTTGCACAACTTTCAGATACTGATAAATCTGTATAATTACTAGATGAATTTTCTCTTGATCGAAGCATAAATTTCTATACCAAATTCCACCAGTAAAATTTTATATACATTATAAATAATTTTGTTATACTCATTCTTTAAATATATTCAAATGTTGTCAAAGTTCTATTATATAATAATCTTACTTTCATTAACTACGTTTACACGGCAAGGTTAATCCGGATTAGTAACAACCGTAGTTAGTGAATTCTTTGATTCAATTGGTATATTCTTTTAGATCTAAAAATATACTCTAATCGGATTCGAGACTGCACTAACTACGGTAGTTACTAAGTCGAAGTTAGAAACCGTGTAAACGTAGTCATAGAGTCATAATACATATTTGTCATAGTTCAGGTTTCTCAGTAACAATTTCCTTATCTTGGTTCTCCTCTGCTACATGTGATACCCACTGTGTCATTGATTCATTTGAAATTTCTTCTATCTGTGATACAGGATCGTCAATATTCTCCTCTGAAGAAGTAATGGGATTTGAAATGGAAGTACTCTGAACCATTGTCTTCTGTAAAAATTTTAAGCGTTTGTACAAGGGCCACTTTGGAATATAAATATCTGTAGTGCCTTTTCCACTACGTTTAGAGTCCTTCACTCTTCTCAAATTTTACATAAAAGTATCTTTCATATTTTTAAATCTGCTTGCTACAACAGTACCGAGGAAGAAAGACGTATTACTTTAAATATATGCAGTTTATTTGTACACATAACTTCTTTCAACTTTTACATTTTACACGGTAGACTGGGACAAAAACGCAAGTAAAATAATTAATCTACGAACTTGCCGCTAACTCGTTTGAATTAAGGAAATAAAAAACGAACAACTTTTTTAATATTTTAAGGTATTTAAAAATTATATTTGAAAAATCGTCATAAATATCGATGATTTTACGTTAAGAATATTTTATTTGCAAGAAAACGATATTTCATAAAATTTACGAAAAAATTTATTTTATGCCGTAAGATATGTCAAATTGTGCTATTTTTTTTAGACGCAACATATCTTTACTTTTGAAAAGACTACGAGAAAGAGGGAGAATAAATCCAACATCCTCCTTAAAATGCTACTTAAAATATAGGCTCCGCTATTGAAAATATAAAAAAAAACTAGGAGATATTTAATAATAGTAAAAATTACAATAATAATAACGAGACGCTATATAGCATTTCCTAAAATCAGAGAAAAAAGTTTTTTTCATATAAAAAAGTCGATCGATCGACTTCAGCATCTAATTACATATTCGAACATGTCTATCTATCGTGTGAACTAGCGAAATAAAAAATATTAATTTTTTATATGCACCGCGCTATCTCTATAGGTGTCTTATTCGCTGTATGGCTACAATAGCCATGTATCGCGCTTTTCTCTTTTATAACGCTATAAAAATTCATTCTCATCAATAAAATATATATTATTATTTCTATCAAGTTTGAAATCAATCGTCTGCTTAGTTTCCGAAAAAAAAATTCGCGGAAATAGCTTATTTTTCTACACACAGAATTGCCTCCTTAATCGGCATTTCTAAGGAGAAAAGAGGAAAGCGCGATACATGGCTATTAGAGCGAGCGAGACACCTATGGAGACAGCGCGGTGTTTCTATAGTTGTCTCATTCATATTGCCTACATTCAAGCGTAGAGCGAGTGAGACAGCTATTGGGGACACCATTAATCGTACCATGTTTGGTAATGCTTTCTCTCTCGATCGTGCGACGTGCGATAAGGATGTAACATCGGAACGTCTCCCACCATTTCTCCTTCGCTTCTCTCGCGCTGTACAGTACGTCCATATGCGTATGCGTATATGCCTGTCATCGCTTTCGATTGTTTTACAGGCATATACGACATCGCCGAGGGACACCATATCTGCCTCTGAGTGTAGATCCTATCGCCTCACAGTAGTCAAAAAAGCTCTCTCGGTCGATAAATTAGCCTGGATCGCGTACTTGTTAACCGATTCTAATATTTTTTTTTAATTTACTCGTTATGAATTGCTGTACAACTTTGTCGATTCACTTTTTTAAAGTAAAGCTTCAAATCAAAATGGCGGACTCAAAATGGTTATCAAAATGTAGAAACTATAAGATATTAGATATTCTTGCATCGGAAAAAAAATATATGTGTTTTAAAAGTTCCTAATTACATATCTGACGTCATAATTTTAATTTCTTGTCACTTAAGAGGATTTAAAACGATTAGAAATGTTTTACGACTTTCTTATATCTTCATATTATCAGTGCATTTAGATAACGTCTTTGCTCACACATTAGTACATATTGCTCGCAAAAATATGTAAATTTCAAAATTCAGCTTGAAATTTACATATTTTAACAAACAATATATACTAATATGTGAGCAAAAACGTAATCTGAATGCACTGATAATATAAAGATATCAGAAAATCTTAAAACATTTCAAATCTTCTGAAGTGGCAAGAAATTAAAATGTGTGTATGTGTGTGTGTCGCACAGGCAGAGATAAGGACCCCATGGTTCGTCACTCCCACAGTATTTAGAGATTCCAAATCCTCTCTGCTGTTTGTGTTTGTGTAATTTAATGTAGCACATTCGTACGGTCTTTCAACATTTCTTCAGCCTCTGGGTGAAAAGGTTTATGAACCTTCCTTACTTGTCGAAGACTAGTTATATAGGGATCCGATTAAAAAATAAGGAATGCAATATATCTTCGTTTGTATCGGTTCTTGAAGATTTTCTGCTGTGACTTGTACGGTACATCTTAAAATCTTTATTCCATGCCTTCTGGGCTTCTTCAGATAATTTCTTATAGTTTCTATATTTTGATAACCATTTTGAGTCCGCCATTTTGACTTGAAGCTCTACTTTAAAAAAGTGAATCGACAAAGTTGTAGAGCAATTCATAACAAGCAAATTAAAAAAAATTATTAGAATCGGTTAATAATTACGCGGTCCAGACTAATTTGTCCACCGAGAGAGCCTTTTTGACCACTGTGCACCTGTCGCCGGCGTTTTCTAAGAGATCGTAAAACGTCTTATTTTACTAATCTCAATATCAATATTTAATATCAATATCTCAATATCTCGGCATTTGTTCGATAGCTTTGCACGCCGCGACACCAACGTGGTGTCACCGGCATTTGTTCGATAGCTTTGCATGCGACATCAACGTAGTGGACCGGCATTTGTCCGAAATTTTCACATGACACCAACGTGGTGTCACCAGACGGCATAGTGTCAAGTCTGTTCTTTTTCTACGTAATACCCGCAGATATTTTTTTATTTATATCTCAGTATACATACCATATTTTAATTTAGTTTCTCGTGACATTTGAATGAAAACTTCAAAGAAACATGCATTTTTGAAACATTTGCGCTCACATAAGTTTATCCTGTATAATTATTAATAAAGTCTTTATATTCTTTGAAAGGAGACATCCGAGTGATTTGCTAGACTTACGATATCTCCTCAGAAGGGACATCCGAGTGCAAAAGGTTCAAGTATTCTAAATATCGTACGACATAAGGTAGAAATAATCAGAAATCTCAAAAAACTATAGTGAACACGATCGCTGACGATTCGACATTGCATTCGATACGAGTTCCAACAAGAAGAAAATACTGCTGAAGCATGTGAATCGATTTTTTCCGCTCTTGCCGAAAGAGTTGTATCTTATAACACGTGCAAATACTAGTTTGATTGTTCCAAAGTCGGTATTTTCGGTATCAGTAATTGATGGCATCCGGAGGAATCACGAAAATTGTCGATGTCAGTATTGCAGACATTGCTAGATAAAACTCGGCACATT